TTACAATCACCTGATCCTTCCACTGTCTAATTACAATCATCTGATCCTACCACTGTCTAATTTCAATCACCTGATCCTTCTTTTGCCTAATTACAATCACCTGATCCAGCTACTGTCTAATTACACTCACGCATTCACACGACTCTACTACTGTCTAATTTCAATCACCTGGTCATACTACTGTCTAATTGCAATCACCTTATCCTTCTTCTGTCTCATTACAATCAGCTAATCCAACTATTGTCTAATTACAATCACCTGATCCTTTCACTGTCTAATAACAATCACCTGATCCTTCCACTGTCTAATTACAATCACCTGATCCTACCACTGTCTAATTTCAATCACCTGGTCCTTCTTTTGCCTAATTACAATCACCTGATCCTACTACTGTCTAATTTCAATCACCTTATCCTTCTTCTGTCTCATTACAATCAGCTAATCCAACTACTGTCTAATTACAATCATCTGATCCTAACACTCTTATTTCAAACACCTGATCCTACTACTGTCTTATTTCAATCACCTGATCCTACTACTGTCTAATTACAATCATCTGATCCTTCCACTGTCTTATTTCAAACACCTGATCCTACTACTGTCTAATTACAATCACGCGACTCTACTTCTGTCTAATAACAATCACCTGATCCTACCACTGTCTATTTACAATCACCTGATCCTTCCACTGTCTAATTACAACCACCTGATTCTACCACTGTCTAATTTCAATCACCTGATCCTTCTTCTGTCTAATTACAATCATCTGATCCTACCACTGTCTTATTTCAATCACTTGATCCTTCTTCTGTCTTATTACAATCACCTGATCCTACTTCTGTCAAATTACAATCACAATATCCTACTTCTGTGTAATTTCTATCAACACGCGACCCTACTACCGTCTAATTACAATGACCTGATCGTACTTCTGCCTAATTACAATAACCTGGTCCAACTACTGTCTATTTATAACCTAATTTTAATCAGCTGATCACCATGCTTAATTAGATAATTAAAATCGTCTGATCGTAACCTCAAATTTCGATCAGATGATCGTTATGTATGATTACAATTAATCGATCCTTCTGTATCATTACGATCAACTGCTCCTATGCTTTAATTGTTATATTAGCTAATACTTATCATTTATTACAGTAATTGGATCTTATGGACAGCGAATCTTAATCTCTTACTACCATTATAAGATTCATTTAAGCATGTGTACTTTACTATAATGGCTGTGTGTTTGTGTCTACATTAAATTTTACTTACCGTATCCAAAAGTATCACAAATAGTACGGTCACTCGGAGATACTGTTTACTGTTCTTCATATCTGGATGAGGCACAGTCTTGGATTAAATAATCGAAATTAGCATTATAGAAAGTAGACTTTAAAACATCATCCTTAAACTAAAACCATTTTAGAGTTTTGAATCACGATTACGACTCAAAACTCCGTGTAACCCCTGAATACACTGCTATGATTACACCATCAACAAATACGCATACAACTATATGCATGTAGACTGGTTAATCCCGGCCGACTGTTTTGGATTTAGTGGACATCGTGAGGCCGCCTCCAGATCACGGGCGCGCGTGCCAGTGTCGACTAGGAGAGGACAGGTGTTACACATACCTGTAATCGTTACACCCATAACATCAGACATGTCAACGGAAGTATCGTTCCGTCCTCCTCGTTTATAGCTCACTAACGAGCATGTAGAGGTACGGAGGAGGGTACGTCTGGTATGTGTGGTAGATGGCAACGGCGGAGGGTAGGTCTAGTATGTTACAATTTTAGATATCAATACACAATAATTGACATATGGGAAAAACGATAAAAAGAGGGGCTTTGAGTAACTCAAGCGTCTATTTTGGAAATCAAGTTGAAATCTTCCTTGGGTGGAGAGCGCTCGGGAGGGCAAATCCCTTTATTTGTTTATATTTTTATCCCTTTATAGAATAAGGACGCTACAACTACAATTTGGCTGAAATCTTTCTAGTAGTTTTGAAGTAACTAATGTCGTTTAGGAGATACCACAGACAGCAATTCGGCCACTGACACTCCTTTTACCCGGCTCCTTATATCATCCCCCACGAGGGTCAGTTCTATTATTTCTAAATGGGACTCTGTTCCGTTTACTTTAAATATGTTTATTCAGCAATGAACACGGTCTGAAAAGACACACAACGTAGTGGTAAATTCCACAATGATAATTAGCATGAATTACGTATAGAAACTAATCATAACATACCTCTATCTCTATCTCCCCCAAGTCTTTGGTACACGTAAGTAATAGGGTCACTCGTATTAGCCCTAGGAACAAAGACTGATGTGAAATATGAGAATTATTAAGAAATGTCCGACTAATTGTCCTAAAATGAACAAAATGAAGCACTGAGTCTCCGTGAAAAGTTGCACAACAGATATAACACTTAGGAAATGTTCCAAGTAGAAACAAGTCAATTGTTATTTGGACATTTTATAATCTGAATGCCAAGCTGGTTTCTTTGTGGCACGACCAGAAGTCCGGATCGGTGCAGGGGACGGAACTACTGCTTGTGGCGTATGTGTCGAGATAGGTGGCATCGTTGCCGGGGGTGTGGTGATTTTGCTCACTGGGGTTGCAGGAGAATCAAACGCTAGATGACGTCGACTGAAGATGTCTCGAATACCAAATGGTGGTGAAGGGAGGTAACTTGTGACGATGACGCCGACCCGTGGCATTTTGTTCATCGGTATTTCTGATGTGTATGTGGAAGCTTTAAAGACCGTGTTCATAAATGGGACTCTGTTCCGTTTATTTTAAATATGTTTATTCAGCAATGAACACGGTCTGAAAAGACACACAAAGTAGTGGTAAATTGCACAATGATAATTAGCATGAATTACGTATAGAAACTAATCATAACATACAATCCTCTAATTTCTTTAACTTGACTTGTATCCATGTGGGCTAAAGACGCCATCACTACTTTAATAAAAATCTGCTCATTATTTTGGAAGTTATTTACGTCATTTAGAGCAAATCTGCCAATGTTACCCCTTTAACCCAGCCATGCACTTGGTCCCAATGAGTGATAGCGCCTTGATTTATACAAAACATGCATCCCCGTTGGCTAATTAGCATGCTACAAATACAATCTGATTGAAATGTGTTCTATACTTTTAGAGGATACGTCATTTAAAGCAAATCAGCCACTAAGGTCCAGCCCCTTATCCCGAAGGAGGATCACTTTCAACCCATATGCATATGTATCATATCTCCTTGACCCAATGCTGCTTGCAACAAACATGGTTGACTTATGACCAGTACATGTAGCTTGGTAGAAGGTGTCGTTTAAAACAAAAGTTAACGTACGACACACGACGGACAAACAACACACTATCACATAAGTTCATTCTAGGTATTTCGTGTCAGATGAGCTCAAAAGTGTCCCTCCTTGTAGCGTCTAACCCTTAAATATCTACTGGTAATACAAAACAAAAGTGGATGATATCCTAATAATGATATTCTAAAAGCCTGTTATCATGACATGTATTTCAGATGTGGCGCCAACGGAAATAATAAAACTGGGAGGGGTGTATCAATAGAGAATCATATTCTATTGGTCTTGCTGACATGTGACATGGTCAATACAATGTATCAGTGAAAGTATTGTTTCCTGTGATGACACAAAGACACAGATATTTTAAAACAAGAATGTGAAAGTTTCCTTAATACATCACCAGTGTTTGATTTATACAAAATGTTGTTATCATATCCTTTTAAAGTCTTTACCTATTAAGTACCACTTCACACTTTTTTATCAGGACAGGAAGACATACACAAATTGCCGAGAGGTTTTTGCCCATTGTGTCATACGGAATTAAGTTTCCCAATAAGCTTCGTGCCAATATTCTGGCAAACAATTAAATAAATGCTCTCATAATAACGAAAACTGGCGAATAGTCAGCATTTTAGTTTCGGTCAGGTGCGTCTGGACCCTCAATCTACACGTGCCAAATTGTCCTGAGGTCAGTCTCGGTTCAGATCTGTGCCTGGCGTTTAACCGGAAACGCGAATCTTTGTTCCTGTTCGTACCGTATCCGTATCTCCGTCTCCTTTTGTCGTCTTTTAGATTACTCTCATAAACAAAATGGCGACAACTGTTGTTCGTGGTATCGGCTCTGGATGGAAACTTTCAGGTATACACTAAATTATAAAAAAATATAACACATTTTAACACAGCTGAGTGATAAGACCTACAAGAAATAAAAACGATGAGAAATAAAAGGAACCTGACAGGTTATGTAATAGGATATACTTCTTCAATCTCGGTAAATAGTATCCTCGCACGGGCCGGAGTGTTGGGTGTAAGTCTACGAGTACAGTACAATAGTGCTATTTCATACGATATCTAGGCCTACGAGATTTTTGTTTTTCAATCTAATTTACTTCTATCTACGTAATTCTGCCTGTCGTCCAATTGGCAGATGTAGAAACGTCAGTTGTCAAACGCAAGAGCTCATGTTATGTAACATAGGAATTTGAATTTCTCATTTTATGTCGTTCCTCAAATAACACATCGTGTACGTAATGAATACTCTATTTTTGGAATTGAATCTCGCCTATATTGAAAGAAATTCAAGTACCGTTGATCGTATTACTATTAGTCATTGATACAAGTCATCCGCCCCGCCAGTCCCGCCACTAATTATAGAACCTTCCTCGTTTTCTAGCGTTCGCACCCAAGCAAACATTATTTGCAACAAGTTTATACATCCGCTTACCCAGCAGACACAGAGTACGTCAACGAAGTGTTGGTCACATGCACCAACATAACAGGAGAGAAAACTGCAACAGGTCATACTAGGATTTGAACCAAGACCTCACAACTTCAGACACTCTAAACAACATATAGCTATTTGGTCAAAAATAATCATCTGCAACAGTCCAAATAGACTTGTATAATAGGCCTAAATGGTGCGTTTCAGCCTCTGCTTTCAACCCTTAATAATTATTAAGCTGGAAGGGAATTATTTTTATCTTATTTAATTTTTGTGTCATAATTGTAGAGCAGCTAGACCAGGGAAACTTGAAATAGGTTCATCTATAAGTATCTATATATCAGAGTATTGATATACCCAACCACCTTTATTCCTTAACAAATGAGCTGGTTTTGGTTAAAGATCAGTCTGTTACCATAAATGCTGGTTGGATATATATAATACTGTACATGTCAAGTGTAACATCTGGAATACTTGATCAGGTGTCTTAATTAATTTGTATTGGAAATCAAATATTAAAAGATTCAACCATTTTTTTTCGTAACCCATTTTACAATAATAACAGAGACTTCACTGAAAAGTTCAAACAAATCAAATGAAAATTTGAGTTTGGAAAAAAAGTATCCGATACTTGTAAATATACACTCACAGGCTGTGAAAAGGGATGTCAACAAGTGAAAGTGTCTTCAATATTTCTGGGATGATTCAGCCGTTATATTAAAATGAGCGAAAGAAATTGAAAGTTGGAAGACATCAAAACCAAATAAATTAGGATGGACTGATAAAGAATTTGTTTGAAAATACACTGATACCAGATTTGGTGTTCGTGTCAATGATTATTTCATTTCTGGGTAAAACAGAATCTTCATAAGTCAGTATATACGAACCTGATACACATTTAAACTCATAAATCTAAAAATAGTTTTTTACTTTTTCAGGAAGGGTGCTAAATGTTTTAAAGGGAAGAGAGCTGTTGATGCCCTTTGCTTCTTATAATAATGTGTCAATGAGATTATATTCGGATGAAAAAAAATCACATCGCAAGAAGGGGAAGACACCTGCAGGCAAATTTGATGACAAATGGGAAACTGAGGTCGAGGAAACTGTTTCACCATATGTAGAACAGGAACCACTAGAGCGCTTCCCTGATAATACAAATCCAACGACTGGGGAGATTGGTGGACCAAGGGGACCAGAACCCACTCGTTATGGTGACTGGGAAAGGAAGGGACGATGTTCAGACTTTTGATAAAAGAATGTATCAAAAAACATGCATTTAGACAGAAAGAGGTGCAGAAGTGATACATTGTATGACAGTGAAGTATGCGGTGATTTTGAAGGAATGACAATATATAGAAAGAATTATCTTCAGAAGTGATTTATGAAGAAATTGTATCACTTTTTATATATACAAAAAAAGAAAGTAGAGCCATTGAGTAGTAATTTATACACAAAAATTGTAGACTTAATGTTGTACAATGTATTACATAGTTGTTCTTTGTATATATTTATTTTGCACTGTGTGCAAAAACTATTTTTCTTTATTGTTAGATATAATTAAATATTTTGGTTAAATTCATGAATTAAGTCATCTTTATACAGTTCAGAGCAGAATTTTGATGATAAATGTTCTGCTTTAATGGTAGCTGCGTACCTAGAGATATTTTAATCTAGACTGGAGGAAGGAGCTACATGATATAGAACATCTTGTAATGAGCATCTATGATATAGGGAAAATACTGAGCTATTCACGAGTTATGCTCCAGGCAAATTTGATATATCATTATGACCCGTAACTTGGGAAAATGGATCTGGATAAGGCATAAAACACAGTTCTCTTCAAAATATGCCACAATATACATACACATACTCTACTTATCTACTTATCATATGTGTATTAATGAAGGTTCATGGAGAAATTTGTAGTGGTTTATAGGTTATGGTCCTGGTAATGAAAAATTGTGAAGTTGGATATACTTATTGCCATAACATAAATTGTCCCCTCAAAGATTGGCATATAATTATAACATAAAAGTAAAACAAAAGTCTCGTCTCCATTACTGTAATTGATGAGGTTTTATTAATAATTCATTGTATACATCATTACAGGACACACACTGATGACCGCACCACCGCATGGCACACTCGATGGAAAACAGAACAGATAGAATAATGAAATGACTTTAATATACAAGACAAATACCTTGAAAAAAATACTGTTCAAATGGCTTTTACCTTCTTGAAATTGAACATTTCTAAAGTAATGAATTCAAAGAGTGTTCCAGTGAAAGTCTATACCAAAAAAAATGGTTTTGGGTTAGAGATGTGCAAATTTAGCTGGTAAAATATTTTTTCAATGAACCTGTATTTATGAATTGGATTTTAAGTTTTGAATACACTTCTTTATGAAATATATAATTATTCATTGCTCTCCTTTGCCATCTTTCTGTGGTCACTACTGCAAAGCAACACTGGATACTTGTTTATCTATACAACTGGCATGGCTCACTTATGATCAAAATAACCTATGACACAACTGTCATGATTCTTTCACCCATACCTCAAGTTATCAATTTGGTAACAAATGTCCCCTCCTCCCCAGAGAAAAAAAGCCCCTGAATCAGGATTGTGAGGATTTGTAGGCTAATGAAAAACATGCACTTTTAAGAAAATATTGAAACAGCTAGCTGCCTGTGATTTGTTGGTTTCCTTTATTGTTTATTTAATATTAACCAGAAGAAGATTGTTTCCCTACAGGAAGTTATATTGTTTATGTTGAGTATTATTCTAAGTCTTAAAGTTGGGTTACACATGTTGTTGGTTAAAAATTGTTCTATATAAGTTAAATTTGACACGAATCCATAGAGATGGCATTTAACACCTATACAAGCACCTGTACAACCATGTAACTGTCAATTCATTGGATAACCTACAATCTTTAATTTACAAAGTGTTTTTAATACAATTTAATATCTAGTGCAAAACTTTTTATTTCAGTTGATCTGTTGGTGAGAAATTAACTCCAGTTCATGTACAGGAAATGCTGCTTTGCAGAAATTTCTGTCGGACAGAATTGAAATTTATGATAAAATATAAAATAAAACACTGCATTGTTAAAGTCAACTATATGATTTTCCTACACACAGGTTTTGACACCGAAGAAGACGAATATTTAACACAAAATTATCATATTAAATTCAGAATTAATCAAAGGAAAACAAGCAAATCAAAATGCAGATCTGATGAGTTCCTGGCAGGTCTAGGTACTTTTACAAATCTTATTTGAAAAAGAACACCGGTATCAGAAAACATATAAAAATGTTTTTTCAGGGCTTACCAAATGTTAAATGTGTTGACCATTGAACTTATCAAACTCCTAGTACTACAACGGTTTGGTGGATTTTGAACAGTTTGATTCATCTACTGGATGAAAAGGCAGATTTTGAGTCCTAGACCATTCCTATTTGTTTGCTTGCAATGCAATTTAACTTATCTCCCCTGATAAAATAAAACATTGCATCAGAGCTGACAAAATGACAATGAAACTGGATTATGTAAAATGGCTTTTATCTAAATACATGTATGTTATTAATGTAGTTTTTGTATCACTCACAGTGGAACCCCAATTCTACTGTGACAAAAACATGACTGAAGAACAAAAACCCACATTTGTTATCAATGATAACAATGTCATTATTGATGGATCTTATTCGAAAAATACTCCCAATAATTTCTTCAAGATGCTGATTTTGTCTTGAAGTGACATTCTCAAAATATTTTGAACATTTCTTCAAGGAAAAAGGGAAGTTCATAGTGTTTTCCCCTCAGAATCTTCCAATTTCCAGCATTTGCTTTAGAAATGTTTGAGAATATCCATGTGTCCTATTTGGTTCTCTTTCTGTGATGAAATACCAATGATTCTAGATGTCTTTAATGCACATATAGGAGATCTCAGGACCGAAGAGCACAGAACTGCTGGAATATCTCCAGGATGTGAAAGTCAATGTCACTAGTAAATAGTAGGCTCTCCAGTGTACTGATGTATCTGTATACAAGCTCGTGGTGCTGCAATGATACAAAAAAATGTTCAAAGTCATAAATTTAAATCCAAGTTTTCCTGACAAAAAAACAAAGAGGGGAAAATATTTATCCAGTATCTTTACAAGGGAAATTTATTAACATTTTAAAAGCAACAATATACTTAACGAGATATCTGATTGAATACATCACATTCATTGTTGAATTTTGATATGATATTCAAGTACTCTACTGTACAGTAGTAACTGTAACCTTGACCTAGATATCAATTTAGACATTTGCAACCTTGACCCAGATACCAATTTAAGACATTTGTAACCATGACCCAGATATCAATTTAGACATGTGTAATCTTGTCCAACATATATCAGTGTAGACATTTGTAACCCTGACCAAGATGTCATCAATTTTCCGTCAGCACTAATTTATCTATAAAATCAGGTTGATAAAATTGTCTCTAATTTGATGTGTATCATACTAGGCAAGCATACAATGATGTAACATTTACATCGACATGGGTTATAGTTACTTTGTCCAGACAATACGATGTAGCATTAAACCTTCCAAGTAAAGTAAGAACACCATCAACACTACCACCTATATAGCCTTTCACACAGTTCAATGATAAACCCACAACATACTAACCAGGAGGAATATTTGTTGTAACCTCTCTATGACCCATTTATACCAGGGTGTGTTGTAGTCCACTCCGCTACCCTCGCACTTTGCCAGGTGGTCCGTCAAGATCATAATGAACCGCTGTAATATAAACAAGGCTCATAAGAGAAATTAAAACCTTATTCTGAGCTCCTGTAACAGATTGATGACAGCAGTTTACTTTTCGCCGCTCACTTTGCCTCAACTTTTTCTTGAGATTGTTTTGTAAAAACAGGTTTATAATCAGGGATTATGAATTACTAATGCAAGGATTTTTTGTTAATAAATCTTCTCTAAGTTTATTGATCATTAATACATATTTTGAATTGTATTTTCAGGGCTTTACAACCTTAATTTACAATTTTCAAATGACATTTACAGGAACAACACTCCAAGTTTTTTCATCACTGACAACTTGTCAAATGAGTCATCAATGAATCCTGTCTGAATTTGAAAAATACTGCATCATATGATCATATCAAACCAAACTTACTTGCAACATGAACAACTTGCAAGGCCACATAAGTGAACATTCAGAAATATATGAAAACATACTAGAATATATCAATCTGTTCTATCTAGCCTTTTCGTTATCAGTAGTTTTAAGAGAGAAAATTGTCAAAGATCAACTATAAGTAGTGACATATTTACAGCATTAGTCTAAATGAAATTGGGTAAACTATCACCAGTATTCAACTGCGACTTAAGCATCATTTGTAACTTATTCCATTTCATACATCAAGCAGAGGTAGATTGTGATGAACATATTACCTGAAATATGATGAGGAAAAGTCGTTTCTGTTGGTTCTGAGCCGTTTCCATCCTTTCCTCCATTCTCTCTATCATCTCATCCGACGGCACCTCATCATCGTTGTAGTCTTCCTCAAAGTCTAGCCCATCTGCCCGCTGATCAAATATTTATCAGATGTTGTATTTAGTGAATAAACATTGCATCTGATGAATGAACATTTTCACAATACCTTCAATCTATAGTCTCCCTATATTCAAAACGTGCTCTGTATTTCAAGACACGACACTTATTTATACCTTTTTGATACAACTATTTTTTATAGACCTATTATATCTCTTCTTCCTCACTTACATACCTCTCTCTCTCCCACAATGCAATGAAAATATGAAAAGACACTGTTCAATTGCTTCCCATTTAAAATACAATGTACTTAACTTTTTTTCAGAGTATAATCAGAAAAGAAGCTTATTTTTCTGTTATTTTCACTTCTCATTCTTATGGACTGGGAGCTTGGATTGGACAATCGAGTCAAATTCTTATTAGAAGTTTCTACTTCTGCCCAAATTATTGTATATCTAATCTTGATCTTTGGTTTAAGTTTTTATCACATTGAAACTATGAATCATATTCAATTATATATCAAATATATTGCATAAAATAGTAGTCAGAATCTGAACTCAGAAATGTGACTTTCAAAACACTTTGCTACCATAGATTAGTGTGACACTGGAGAACTGACATTCTGAAAATTGTGACCCGAATGTATTTTAGATAGCAATATGACTTTACCATTATGTCTGTCAGAATGTACGTTAATCTGAAACATCACTGCAATATTTTTAATATGTAACCTAACATGACCTAAATATCCTAAATCTGTTGTCATCCTAATACTTCAAATTTGTACAAAAACTTGACCTACATTTTTCAAAAACATTGCATGCCCCCAGTATATTAAATTAGTAAAACAATACTACCTTAATTAGTCTGATTTATATCCTCAATCCCCTACATTAATAAATTCTGAATCAGTCAGATCTGTGCCCCTAATCCCCTAATTAATCATACACATGACCTCCTTCAGTGTGTATGTATGTGACCTTGACAAACTGACCTTGCGTTTGTTAGCCTCCAGTTTGTCCTTCGCCTCCTCCACATCCTTCTGTAACTTGTCGACATGTTTACTCATCTTGCGTATTGTACTGTGCATCATCTCCCAAACATAGAACCTGAAAAGTCAAAATATTTCCTGACATTCCGACTCAGTATATCCTTCTCAATCATGACACTTACAATATAGGTTCAAAAAAAAATCACAACAAATCAGTCTGAAAATGATATATCTGTTGTATCACACCTGAACAAGTTTTCAGAATATATCTTTTTGCATTTTATGGGTGAATTATTCCTCAGTAATTAATTTATAATATAAGTGTAACAATATAAAATATAAAGTTAATTGTTTCATGAGGATAAATATGTTGCAATCACAGAAGACTGGAAATAAAAAGGGGGAAAATGCTATAAAAATGAGCTGCGTTGGACTCTGCAATGAAATATTCACAACCACTTATAACAAGAGGCCCATGGGCCTAAACGGTCACCTGAGTCTACAGTATTTTTTTTTTGTGTTGAAATATGTACCAATTTGAGTAAAAAATAGTATAATGTTAACTTAACTTTGTCAGGACCATGAGCTGATCATTCCTAGACCAATTTTAAGTGAGATCGGCCTATTAGAATTTAGTAGCAAAATAGCGGCCATGGCAGCCAAATTGTATTTCTGATTGACCCGAAAAATAACAACACTTTGTCAGGACCATGAGCTGATCATTCCTACAAAGTTTCAGTTCAATC